TCGTTCAGCTCTTGCCCCAAACCTGTGAATGTTAAATCCAATGGCTAAATCCCAAAAAGAAAAGCAAGGGAAGGTTTCTTTTACATCGTAAATGCAACGTTAGCAGATGTATTTTGAACTGACAAGTGGAATGTAAGGACTCTGTCCCTGACAGTTAAGATTAGCTTGAAATAGTCACTTATTTCTGGGACTTGAAGTGGGAGTGTTTGTCAGGTTCAGTTTGTCTTTGTGAATGTCATGAGGCATATGCACTCACAACGGTCGTGTGCCATTCTGACAGAGCACCTCACTCGTGGCCCCGCTCTCCTACCTTAATCTACGCTTGTTTTTCAGGTACATAGTTTATAAGGCAGAGAAGGACGCAACGTTTAGGACAGAAACCGGCCCGACTTTTCTGCCACATGTAGCTCATAGGAGAGTAGGAGCAAACCGATACTGTATTTTTTCATGGATTTTATGAACATATTAGCATAGGCCTTACTATCTAAAGCAGCAAATTACTTTTAACCCCTACCTACCATTTGGTTCAGGCTTTTACCAATGTTATGCTTCCCAATTTATAACATTGCAGATGATATATCAGGTTAATATTATGCAGATATGTCGGTCAGCTTGAAGTACTGCTTGGACCTTTTCCTTAGTGTGGATTTCTGTTAGCAGAAGTGTTGGAGAGAGAAACAATAAGGAGCGTTTGTGTGTGTTTATGTAAGTAGTAGCGATTCTTCTAGGGAATAATACATGGTTCAGACAGACTGGGAAAGCTCTTTAAGAAATCACTTTTTACTTTTGCCAGCTTAACTTTCAGGAGGCTCAATGACGAAGTCTGGTTAAACTTCCCTGGGAGATTGAAAGGAAGTAGAACGTACTTAGGAGCTGCTTCTCGTCCCAGGGCAGAATCTCTAACAATACCACCAGCAAGCTGTCGTCACACTCAAGTGTGATGGTTGGTTTCTCTTCAATGTTCTTGTTAACGCAACAAGAAGCTTCCAGCTCACTTTGGGATCATGGGAAATGATTGTGTTAATGTTGTCAGTTTAGTCCACTTCACTTTGTTAAATCACATCCACATTACCTGTCACATTGCACATACAAATCTCTCACTGTAAAAATGTTCATTGAATGTTTGACAATGTTTTGTTTTTCTTTTCATCCCAAACACCTATTTTGTAGTGGAAGCACAGAAATGTTTGTCATTTTTTTTTTTTTTGTCATCAAGTCTGTCCGGCTCCACCTGCTATACTTTTGTCTGCTTCAGCTTTGGATTAAAAAAACACATAAAACACAAAACTGCAGCGTCATCTCATTTTATTGCATTTGAAATGCTTGGTCTGTATGAAAAATGTATTCTTAAGGACATTCTTAAAAAGGAAAACAATCGAAGGCCTCGAAAGCACGTACTGTAGTACGTAAAACATTTGGAAAATGAACCCATAAAAACCCACGGTGACATGAGTTCAAGTTACATACAGCGTTAGCCTTTATTTTATGACATTAAGTGTACTTCGTGTACACGCAGTCGTACGCTCTGTCCACCATCGGGCAGAAGCGCTTGGTGTGGGCTTTGGCCCCCGTGGCGCCGCACAGGGGACACACGTACTGCCGCAGGTAGGGACACAGAACATCTCCGACCTGGTTCTTCAGCCAGTGGGATTTGCACACCAACTTGGACTCGCCATTGTGCACGCAGAAACTGCAAGACATGCGCGCAGGTGACAATGGTGAAGTCTGGTGTTTCAAATGAGATACAGGTGGTGGACGAGACGCAGAGCCAAACGGCGAGAAGTCTGCCCCAATTGCACGATGGGAGTCTGTGGAGTACCACAACCCATCAGGTGGTGGACGAGACGCAGAGCCAAACAGCGAGAAGTCTGCCCCAATGTCGCCACGTTGTGCCGGGTGCGGAGCTTCGAGGGCCGGCAAGTAGGACCCAGCTGCCGTGTGCAGGATTATCTCTCTGACAGTGTCCACCAGTCTTATGTAGTCATTCCAGCGCTGGAAACTGTCGCTGCCAGACTCCAAGTGGCCCATTCTAGCGTTTTTTCGGAAAAAACTTCGTGTCTTGTGTGGCACAGCGCTCACAGAGGGACGAAATTGCGTACACAACATGTGGTTATCAGAGACGCACACCCCCACTCGTGCCACTGCCAGGAGCCAATCAGTGGAGCTCATGGACAGCCTAGTAAGTGACACAAACTGAACAGTCTGGTGGGTCATGGGCCAGGTCATGTGATTTTGTGTTCCCATAACAACATGTGCCAGGCTAACACATGTGACAGAACTATCTATATTTCAAAAGCTTGTTTTACGTTACAAAAGGCAAGATTCAAGCCATTTAAGAATTATAATGCTTACATATGTCCACTATTACATTTAACTTGTGATATTTCTTGATCAAATTCATATAAAACAAATAAGATCTCGGACACTAGGGCGGGAGATTTTGTCAGAAATGTGGTCTATTTAGTCTAAATAATGTTATGCATAATTTTTCCCGAAAGTAGAAATGGGTCCGGGTTCTTATGGGTTAACAATGTGTCTTCAAAAAGCAGAAACACCTCTAGTATAATTTAAAGAATTGTTGTTATATTAGTCTCCTTAATTGTTTTCTTCCAAGAAGTCATAATCTCAACAACTTGTTTTATAATAAATGTTTGATTCTCTATGCCTGCTAGAGATAGGCAACTTGTCTACTTGTAACATGTGTCTTGCCTGTCCTGAGTTATTAGTACAGTTGGTAAATTATTGAATTAATTGTAATTAATGAATCTACCAAATTTAAATATTTTCTGCATCTTTGACCTTTGTCTCAACAATAAGATACATTTTCTTCTCAATCACTTCTCCGGCTATGACTCAGGTTGACGGGTAGTCTTGGGATTTGTGGCCTTGACACGGAGTGCACAAACTCAACTCGTGACAGACTTGTGTCACATTTGCTAGCATGAGTGACTCCGGGAATATACACATTTGCGTAGCAAAACAGTCTGGTAGCATTGAGTCAACCCAGACATTTGCCAACACTGGGGTGTTTAGAGCAGCTTCTGTCTATTGCAGAGTTATTTCTCCTCAGGTGCAAGGCAGCAGGCGGCATGCCACTTCAAGCTTTGACTGTGACGAAACCTACAGTCATCTCTCGTGCTCTCAGGTAAATGAGAAAGGGGGTAGAGGGGCTTCAGGGGAGTTCCTCATGATCGTAGGCCTCTGGAGGTTTTACCCTTTAACCCAGCTGCTACAAACGTCAGGACACATACCCATCCTGGCACATGGAGGGAGGACATTTTATATAACTTAGTCAGTCTTTATAGTGTGTATTTAAAATAAATACTATACAGTGTATTGGTACATCTCAGGAAGATAAAAATGACATACTGTGTGTACTTTCTCAAGTAATCGGTAAACAGTTCAACTCCTTAACAGGATTTCTATCAAGGAAAATCGGATACAATTTTACTTTATTCAAAAATAAGAATATATTATCGTAGGTTGGAAACAAACATGTGCCTATATGTAATTACTGTGTACATCTTTTTTAAAGTTGTGGGGAATAGGATGGGTGGAGATTTCTCTGCCGTGGTGATGAGACACTTCTTTGAAGTGGCATGCTGATTCTCACACACAAACACATCCTCTCAGACAAGACGGAGTAGGTTGCCCTGCCCCAGACAACAAGTAGCAAAAGTGAGATGTCACTTACCTCTCAGCAAGAAATCTAGAGGTCAAAGTGGAGCTTTGAAAGATGTTCAGATATGATCAAATAAGAAAGCAGTTTCATCAGTTTTACATGTTCAACAGCAGTTTTCACATGTGCTGGGAATCAGATTGTTTTACTGTCAAGAGAAGCTCTGTGGTTACTGAGGTTGCTTTGATTTATTCTAGTAGTCTTTTGCTGATACTTTTAAAAACCCGTTTTAGGAGAAAATGCAATGTTTTCTAAGAAAAGTTTCATTGAGAAGTTAGGCTTACTAACTCACAGTAGTGGCATAGAGGCTTTCCACTGGCACCTATGTCATATCTGCCAATTTGAAAATGTAACCTATAATGGTCCTTCCTTTTTCAGTTAAAAAAACAGGAAAGACGAAAAGGAAGAGCAGTCATGAACTTCATATGGGTGTGCAGGAAATGAAACATCTTGCACCATTACCAATCATCAGGGCATGATCGATGCACTCATTTTCTATTATTATAGATTAATTTCAAACATTAATAGACTTGAGTCGAAATAGAAACAGTGTGTCACTTTGCTCTTAAGCAGCGTCAGCAGAATATTATGCTATCTTTAAAGTCTCTCTTTTTGGAAATAACATCTTGACTCATTCGTTGTGATCACAAAAATCACCTAAACACTGATTTTAAATAATGAATCAGAACGGATGTCTTTGATAATATTCACAACTGTATCACTGCTTTTCTTTTCATAAGATCTCGCTTTTATTTCACCTTTTTCTCAAATACACTTCTCTAAATGTGGCCACAACTGTTGAAAATAAACAACAGTTTGATGTAATCTGTAACGGAGCGAGGTGATCTCTGGGGCCATAGATCTCGGCCTCCGTTACGGATTGTGTAACTTTGTTGGTGGCGAAATGTAGGTAGTGTGTGCATCTGTATGTGTTTTAGTTTGTCTGTCTCCATTTGCTGGTTTTATGTCAAAAGTGTTCCCTTTCCCCATGTCTGTGGCTGTTGATTGTGTGCACCTGGTGCCCTGTGTTGTCCCCCCCCCCCCCCCCACCTGTCTAATTGCTGATTAGTGTGTGTATTTAGGCCCTGTTGCCCTGTCTGTTTGGAGGCTGGTAGTGTGTGGGAGATCCCTGTGGTTGGTGACGGTGTGCACATGTTCAGCAGGATTGAGGCTGTGTGTCATGTGTTCATGAGTTAATAAATGCCCACACCGGGTTGTATTTGGACGTCTGCCTCTGCCTCCTTGCTTGGTCGGGCCGCTCAATTGTCAGCTTCACAATTGGTGTCAGAAGTGGGATTGACCAAGTGAGGAGGTGAGAGTAATGGAGGAACTGAGGGAGATGATGAGGTCACTCCTGCAGCTTCAGGCAGCCGGTGAGCAGCAGTTCGCACGGGTACAAGAATGGGAATCCATGATGGAAGAGGAGCGGAGGCAAGACGGCCGATTGGCTAAAGGCTCGACGGGCATTAACTCTGCTGTTGGGGCATCAAAGATCCTGGCGGAGAACCGGAAATTGATGCGAGAGCAGACAGAGGAGATGCGCTTAGTGGAGGAGGCGAAGCCCATCATGGAGCGTCAGCTGCTGGAGGAGCTGGAGAGACAGAGACAGAGACAGCGACAGGCAGAGCTCACGGCCCAGAAGGCCAGAAAGGAAAAAGAAAAATCAAAGCTGGAGCGAGCGGCAGCTAGGAAGCCGGAGAAGGTCAACAGCAGCCTACAGCGTCACCTGCATCGCAGCACGCAGGAGAAGGAGGAGCGCCAGAGGGAGCTCATTAGCATGAAGGGGCAGATAGCCACTCTGATGCAGCGGCAGCAGTTCCGGGCGGACCCCGCTCAGCTGGAGAGGAAGAATCGGATCGCCAAAAGGAAGAAAGGGAAGCTTCCTTCTGACTTCACACACCCCCCCCCCCCCCCCTGAGGAAACCATGCTGCACAAGGGGAAGCAGAATCCTTGCAGGGAAGCCAAGGTTTTCAAGACACTGTGCTTCCGGGGGAGAGGGGTAAGGAAATGTAACGGAGGTGATCTCTGGGGCCATAGATCTCGGCCTCCGTTACGGATTGTGTAACTTTGTTGGTGGCGAAATGTAGGTAGTGTGTGCATCTGTATGTGTTTTAGTTTGTCTGTCTCCGTTTGCTGGTTTTATGTCAAAAGTGTTCCCTTTCCCCATGTCTGTGGCTGTTGATTGTGTGCACCTGGTGCCCTGTGTTGTCTCCTCCCCCCCCCACCTGTGTCTAATTGCTGATTAGTGTGTGTATTTAGTCCCTGTTGCCCTGTCTGTTTGGAGGCTGGTAGTGTGTGGGAGATCCCTGTGGTTGGTGACGGTGTGCACATGTTCAGCAGGATTGAGGCTGTGTGTCATGTGTTCATGAGTTAATAAATGCCCACACCGGGTTGTATTTGGACTTTCTGCCTCTGCCTCCTTGCTTGGTCGGGACCGCTCAATTGTCAGCTTCACATCATCCCATGTAGTAAACGAGATGCATTCTGTATCATGGTTACACGTTTAAAGATAAATGTCAACATCATCATACTAAGGGACTGTATGAAAATGATTGGAGGGAATCAGAGTAGAGTGTTCAACTCTCTATTCTGATTCCCTCCAATAATTTTGCCACTATGCACTTGGACAGGCTCTATGATTTCTGTACTAACATCTTTCAAACATCTGATTTGAGGAGGTTGTTACCAGCAGAGCTTTGCTTTGGTTTGTCTGGTTCCAAATAAATCCTGACCCTTTGACAGTCACAGTTAACGGGTAAACGTGGAGGTCAAGTGTATGTGGGCTTGTGTGTGAATGCGGCAAACTAGTGATTGTGTCTTTATTTTGTTTACCCCAAGTGTGTTATTTTGAGATATTAAGTATTGAAAGGTATTGAGTCGAGGGAGGCTACAAAGACAATATTATGAATAGAGGGAAGAGCTTTGCTTTTTTAAAAACATTAATAGGCCTACGAAGATTGTGTTCCTACTTCCATGTAATTAAAGTCCTTGACAGTGCTTTGCTGAGCATTTAGTTTGTCAAAGTAGGCCTAACAGTAACTGAGTAGACTTTGAACCCTAGACTTTCTTGTTGTGCTGTTATCTTGATGTTTGATGGAAAAGTAGGATGCCATTGTAGATTCATATTTTAGATCAGGGGTGGCCAACCCGCGGCTCTCGAGCCGCATGCGGCTCTTTGCCTAGTTTCATGCGGCTCTTCAGTTCATATCGAATTGTATAGCCTATGTGTGAGTTTGGGGGAGAGACACTGACTCCTGACTAGTGTTGCACGGTGTACCGATACTTGAAAGGTACCGCGATACCCTGCCGTTAAAAACGTTACGATTCCTCCGTTTCATTAATATCGGTACTTTAAGAATGACGGGGAAAAGTACTCCGGTGAGAAAGCGCTGTTTTAATAAGAGCCGTGTGTGTTCAGCGCTCTGCTTTCACTCCCTGCACTGCAGCCGTGCCTGCAGTCCCGCCCCTCTCAAGCACGCTCTAAGTCCCTCCCCTCTCAAGCACGCTCTAAGTCCCTCCCCTCTCAAGCACGCTCTAAGTCCCTCCCCTCTCAAGCACACTCAAGTGCCTTCCCTCTCTCGTGCACGCGCTAGCTGCCAGAGCATGTGAGAAAACGAGAAGCAAGTGGGAGTGCAACTGCCGCTGCGCCTCGGCTTGTTGACAACAAAGACGCCAGAAGCGAAATTTGGAAGTATTTGAGCGATATCTCTGACAGTGAGGGCAAGCCTACGGACACCACGAGGCCTGTCTGTAAGAAATGTATTAATTGTATTTAATACAAATTATTGTCATTTATTTTATTTATTGTTCTCATTGTTAAAAAGAATCGGAATCGCAATTCTTGACTTGGTATCGAAACCAAAATGTTGGTATCGTGACAACACTAGCTACTCCTGACAGTTAAACCTGATATTTAGTAGGTCTGTTAAGTATTGAATGCTGATAATTCTGACGTAATTTGGCCGGTCAAAGTTGTTTGGGCTCTCCGTTACTTTCGTCCCGTGTTACTTTCGTCCCGTGTTACTTTCGTCCCGTGTTACTTTCGTCCCGTGTTACTTTCGTCCCGTGTTACTTTCGTCCCGGCTCTCCCTACTTGTGTATGTGTGGTGTCAGGTGTCAGTATGAGAGGATGACAGCGTGTCTAATTTTGATGTGGCCCAAGAGCCAATCACAATAATACCTGCGATGCAGTGAACCAATTTGAGGGGGGGGAAACCTATCGTTGATTAAACACTATCCAGTGTTTCCCGCCAACGGAGCCCCGCGCCCCCCCCCTGAAATTCAAGGTGTTTAAAAAATATATATAATTTTTTTTTTTAAATATATATATAGCACCAAATTCCAAATAATCTATAACTACTGTCACTTTTCATATTGAACATGTGCTCTTTTATTAAATAAACTAAACGCTTTCATTTTAAGTTGTGAGTTTAGTGTTTTTGACCCTAAGAAACACTGATGCATTAATCAATAACAATAATCCACAGCTCCTCTCTGCTCCAGAGGATTTCAAAAATATATATCCCAATGCCACAAAGATGCATCAGTGACGTGGTTGAAATCTTGTCTCCAGAAAACAAAAAACTGAAACAAGCGGTATCAGTGACTGTGTGTTTGATGTGGCTCTTTGCAGAAACATAGAAAAAATGTGGCTCTTAACCTCTGACTGGTTGGCCAGCCCTGTTTTAGATAATAAAAGTAACAATTTTGTCTTTTATTCATGCACATTCCAAACAGTGATTCAGCTTTTTGTATCAAAAGTAGGGATGCACGATATTTTTTTTTAAACCGATATCGATAACTTCCTGCTTCTCAAGACCGATACCGATAACAAAAAATGTTTTACGCCACTAATTATTTTAACGCGATTAACGCATTTGTATTTGTTTTCCTCGGCCGCCCCGTAGTTTCAGAGCGCATCGAGTTTAAAATACCATCTACAAGCTGATGCTGACAGCCCGCTCCTGTCGCCCGCTCCTGGCAGGCCACACTTCCACGCTCACCGGCAGGCACCGACTGGCCATCTGGAGGACCGGGAGGGTGTGTGTGTGTGTGTGTGTATGTGTGGCTCGAGCGAGCGAGAGAGAGACCTTACGTGCATTGTTGTTGTTAGCATCTGGTGCTAGCTAGCTGCGCTAACGGATATACGGAGCTGTTTAAATGAAAACAGAGGAGCGACATTTCGCCACAACTGCGCCGAGCACTTGACTTTATGCAGGAAGCCAGACAGTGGAACATTGTACGAAAAGTCATTACACTCAGCGTCAACATGATTGCAGCGTCCAGGCAGCTCCGGTTCGAGCATATGCCTTGAGTTGCACATAGCTCCAACGCCCATACCACCGACGACATGTTTGTTTACTGTCCTGGCTTCACGGCCGCACACCATTTACGTCACAGCCAGGCATGAGTTAGGGAGCGCTGGATTTGTGAAAAACTCCCCTCTTCCTAAACCAACTAATACAACAGTACTGGCAAAACGGGAGGAACCGAGTGAAAAACAAGCGCCCCTCATCCCAATCCAGCCACACCGCAGTATTTTTTCTTTTTTTTTACCCAAAAAAATATATTGTAGGCTATATTATCAGGGCTATTAATACTGGTATCGGGTTTATCGGGATGACGTCATAATTCCTAATATCGGACCGATAATTATCGTGCATCCCTAATCAAAACCCTTTAATTGTTTCTCACCTTGCCTTGAAACCGTTGCTCTCTGTTAAGACACATCCAGTCATATCATACCTGATCTTAACCAGCACATTACAAGCCTTAAAGAAACGGATATTAACACTGGTAACATTAAAACAGTCATGCCCTATCGGACAGTTGTTATGAATGATAGCTTTGCATTAAGTACTGTCATTGATAGAATGATACTATTTAGATCATCCCACGTTGACTAAGCCACTGGCTGATAAAATGTCTTAGAGTAGTTTCAGTTTAGAGGCCTGAGTCAAGTCAGGAGTCTTGTGATTTTGAGATTAGAGTATCACGTACATACATTAAAATGTTATTAAGGCTGGTTTTATTTATTGCTCACAGAAAGCATGTTATCACTCAGGCTGAATGCGCTGTGGTACAGCAGATGAAACCCTAAAAATACCCCCTCTGGCTCTGTCCCAGTGAAGAAGCTGACATATAAAAGCTAAACACTGTTAATGCAGGGCTGCTCTTTTTAACCCTGTGTTACTTCTGTTTTAGACTAAGTGTGTTTGTGTGTCTGAGTGAGATTGCTTTTGTGTGTGTGTGTGTGTGTGTGTGTGTGTGTGTGTGTGTGTGTGTGTGTGTGTGTGTGTGTGTGTGTGTGTGTGTGTGTGTGTGTGTGTGTGTGTGTGTGTGTGTGTGTGTGTGTGTGTGTGTGTGTGTGTGTGTGTGTGTGTGTGTGTGTGTGTGTGTGTGTGTGTGTGTGTGTGTGTGTGTGTGTGTGTGTGTGTGTGTGTGTGTGTGTGTGTGTGTGTGTGTGTGTGTGTGTGTGTGTGTGTGTGTGTGTGTGTGTGTGTGTGTGCGTGCGTGCACCGGTGCATATACCATGAGGTGAGGCTTCAGAGTAAGGCCGGCTAGTTACAGTTACGGTAAGTAAAGACACAGCAGGGCTGCTGCTGGTAAGTGACGTATATGGGTCACGTTTGAGGTTAGTGCATCAGCCTGTTGAGTTTACATATTTTAGTGGTTCCCCACATATAGACGGCAGAACAGCAGGATGTGATGTTTTCAGTGCTCTACTATTTACCCAGTCCTCATAAATGGCACATTAGCAGCTGAATTATCTTTTAAAGAAATAATCAAAAGAGTAATACATTGTCAACAAGTCATTTATTCTACTGCAATGCAAAACAATCTCAGTCATAATAAATACAAAAATAAATATAACAGTTTATAACAGACAGTATTGTTCGTAACTTCATATAATGTATGACGCAATATGGTCTTAAAACAGAAACTTGTCCTCAGGACAAAAGAAGAAGTCAAAAACAAGATAATCTGCATCTCTGTAAATATTACATTCAATAAATGGGCAAGGGTCAATGGCTGTCAAGTTCACAGTAAGTTTAGGGTCAGCAGTTCTTCAAACAGTGGCTACTCCGTTTCTGTACCGTTTAGAAGCCAGATAGGTCTCAATGTAGTTGAACAGCAGATCCAGCTCCCCCATGGCTTTATAATGACCTTTACTATTCATCTGCAAACAAACACATGGCTCTGTTGGTTAAAATGAAAGGTACACAAACAGGAACTTTGTCTTTTTAAGAAATGTGTTTTCACAATTCAACCTGATAAGTGAACACTCACCTGTGTGTAAGTCGAGTTTAGGTTTTTGATGTCAAACTGTTTCTTGCAGGCAAAGTAATTTCTCTGGAAGAGGAAAAATAATCGACTTTCATTAGACGCTCATGTCCAGAATACATCCCCCCTCCCTCCAACAGACGCACAGAATATAGCACTTTCGTCAGGATGATGCCTTCAGTTCTCTTCCCTTTTTCAAGAATGTGAGGATGCACAGCTTTGCACGATGCTGCAGTTGAGGAATGACTGACTAATACTATATTATGATCTGTCCTTGGCCATTCTTCCTCTTTCTTTCATGGTCAGCCATTTGCCTTGTGTCAAAAAACACTGAGAATATTTCTGGAGCTTTTTGGATTTAGTCCAGACCAGGAAGATGGTTTAGATTGCTTGGCTGTATACATGGACTACATTTTTAACTAGTTGAGTGACAGCTAATCACATGTATTCCGGAATACATTACAGCTTGGTTGCTTTTGTAATGGAAACAGAATCTTGGACAGGCACTTTAAGAGCAACAATGGCCATAATGGCCCATGTGTACATATGTAACTCTTGAGTAGCCACAGTGCAATAATTGAAATGCATTTTTCCATTTTATAAAATAATTTATGGTTAGAGTTATAATGTTAGGTCTTCATACTTAAACTAAAACCTATAAATGTTTATTACTAAGCATTTGAAACAGTCGTCTCCGCATGGCGAACTACATAGGCTACTTTAACTAGGATCAAAGGCGTCCCTAGCCCGCACTCGGTGCATATAACACCTTGTCATGTAGGAGAAATAACAGTGCGAGTCAGGTACTCACACATGTGATGATATCTCTCTTGAGCTGGTCGAAGATGAGCTGGATGGACTCAATGGGAGCTTTTAAGTCCTTGATGTCGTCGGTCACTCCCGCCATTGCCGTTGGCAGCACCGTGCTCAGGTAAAAGTCCAGGATGCTGTTCATGGCGTGGCAGGCAAATGGGCTCTGTAGGAGGGAGGAAAAGCCCTCGTTAAGTTATGCCACTTAACTCTTTACTGGCGTGCACGTGTCTTGCCTTGAAATGGTAGGCTCTGGTTTATTTTATGATAGCTTTTCCTTGAGAAGCAGCGGCTCTTTACCATATTAAATGCTGAGTTAATGCTGAAACTTACTTTGAAAGAGTCCTCGACGCTCTGGTCTAGCAGCGCTGTGTCCAAGTCATCGTTTGCTTCCTGTAAACAAAACAAGGTTGCGTTCAGTGACAGAGGAGAGAGAGAGAGTGCTGCATCACCTGCAGACCGTCAGCACTACATGCTGCTCTCACTAATGTCAGAGTAAATGTTGAGCTGCTACTCACATAGAAGTCTCTGATCTGGGAGTAGTCCTCTCTGAGCTTCTTTAGCCGGACTGGAAATCCCTCCACGAAATGACAGCACTGGTTGTTACACATGGGACTGCAGCAGACAGTGCTGAGGAGGGACCAGAGGAGCAGGAGGGACAGCAGGAGAGACTGAGGAGCCATGGTGAGGATCAGGCTGCTGGAGCTTCTGGAGGCAGAGATGATGGAGTGAAGATGCTGCTGGATCAAGCTTCCTCACTTATGTGAGGCAAAATCTTTTGAAGAGCTCTGAAGAGAAAGGTGCACATATTTGGGCTCATCTCTTGTTTGAATTTATAGCCAAAATAGGAGGGGAGGAGACTGACTGGAAGAGAAATGATTAAACGTGCATGAAGGGAAATTTTCTTAGAATCCTTCTCAGTCTCACATATAGGCAACTCCTCCTTATGAGATATATTGATACAAGAAAAAAATCTGACAAAGCATTTTGAGAATTTTGACATCACATATTTTTGCTTTCCTTATTCATTTTATATTTTTAAATATTATTTTAATTTACACAACTGCATTATTATTATATGTATTCAATTTACTCCAATTAGTTTAATCATCAGTGTATATATAGTAGGCCTATATACAGTATATATACATATATCAATATAGATACTTAGGTGCTAGCAAATCTGGTCAAAATGGCATCAGATTATCATATACTATTTCATGTATTCACAATAACGTATCCCCCCACAAATGGAAATGATATTAGGTTGTGGCTTAAATTGATGACGCGGTGGATTCCCTCTGTTCGTCAGATGAGCCTTATGATCTACACGAGTGAGGTCATGTGACGTCACTCATTGTAGTTTTTTGCCTGAAGTCATGTAATTATTTCCCTGAGGTGAGGTTTACATATGTAAATATAACTATAGAATATAAACTCAATAGAGAAGTCCTTTTGGGACACTTAGAGGTGTTTCCCTTTACTTTAGTACTTTTTCTGTTGTACGGAATTCCCATGTATCCATAACTAACCTTCTGCTGTCTGTACACTTTATCTGACTCCATCTGTTGGGCAACATTGGCGTTTTGCAAAGCAATGAGACACAATTATCGATGATTTGTCACTGTTCAAGTTAAAGTAATTTACCGTGTAATGTTGTTCTTTGAATAGAGTTAAGAATTGGTCATAAAGATCACACTGTGCTTCATCACATTTGATCATTCTCTTCTTTTAGTTGAAAAGTCTCAAACCATTATACGAGTTTAAGTCCCTGAAAGGCCTAAATAAAAGAACTTGTGAATGAAAAACAGTAAAATTGTCTTGTCATCATAAAACCAGAATTCAACCTCATCCTCCTATGGTTCTGTACAACATCACTCCTCCGCCATCTTTGCCCAAATCATGTTTCTTTGTGCGGCTGCTGGATATGCGATATCGAGAATTGTTATCAAACAGTATTGAAGGTTATCTTTAAACATCCATGATCGTTTCAGGTGCACACATTTCTTCCATCGCTTAGAATATACTGACAAATCACCCAACACTCATTCTAGATTTAGAGGGAGGGTTTGATAATAAAGTCACAATGAAAAACAATTAATTTGATTATTAAAGACAAAAAGCTACATATTGACCTTAAAAATACACTTGGCAGTCAATAATTAGGTGTTTTTACAGAAATGAATAATAAATATATTGGAAAAATGTATATTTTTTACTTAATTCAGCCAGGTAAAGTCTCATTAAGACTAAATTACTTTTTAATGGATGGTAGCATCAAACCAAAAGGGAATACGAAAAATAAAAAGGCTAAGACTTTTGTGACAAAGATGTATACAATCTGAAAACCAACAGAGATGGGGAAGGTTTTGGATTTAAAGAAGAACAAGGTCAGGAAACAATTGTCCAATTCATTTTCAGATAACTCCATTAATTGCAAAATCCAAGTAACACCCGAAAAAAACAATTGCGAAAATGTGGTTATTGTACTTGCAAATACAATTGCAGAAAAATGCTAGCTTGTGTATCGCTAGATTTATTTAAATTACACGATATTCTGTAAATTGCTCAAAATGTAAAAAATGTGAACATTTAAACTTTCATTTAATGTCATGCTATCCACCTAAAAAGGAATTACCTCTTTCAAACAACAAGTACACCTTATATATTTAAATACATATATAACAATACTAATAAATGGACATATTTAACATATAAAAGTCAAGTTGCGTGAGGTGTGTGTGTGTGTGCGTGTGTGTGTGTGTGTGTGTGTGTGTGTGTGTGTGTGTGTGTGTGTGTGTGTGTGTGTGTGTGTGTGTGTGTGTGTGTGTGTGTGTGTGTACTCTGCATATAGCCATGTGATTTAATGCCTTCAGTTATGACATGATGTGCATGTGAGATCTAGTCTGCGATAAAGTCAAACATATTTTTTTGCATAACTCATGTATAGCTTTTAGTCAGCGCACTTCTTCCCTGTACACAACTCATAATTAAACCCAGCATGATGTGTCCAGAGAAACTGCTGATAAAACCAACGTCATGCCCAACACATTTTCACAGAATTAGGGAGTCATGAAAGTGCAAATATTTCATGTTTATTTGTCCTGCAATGTTTCGAGTATTACCAATCATTACCCGTAATGGGAGTAAATAAATAATAAACTGAAAGATGGATGAGTGGGTTTTACTGAATGGTGCAACAGCTTTGCAAAGAATAAGAATATATTATGAAATGTAAGTAGGTGTGTGTTTTATTTTAATTTTAATGTATGCTTTTCTAATGAGGCAATTATGCTGAAATTAATTGTACAATTTTAGGTAATCCTTAACAAAATGTATTGATCCACTGGAGGCTTCATGTCAGCCAGTAAATTATCAGTGTACACTCAAACCAGATATAAGAGTCAGCGATATTTGTTGCACTGCTGATTCTGATCAGTGGGGCAAAAGCTGAATCATTCAACCTTATCTTACATATTTCACTCTACCGATTGCTGAGTCACAGGAACATCGTCTGGTGTGGTGACGATCTTGTCATGGCCCCTTACCTACTAATCGTAGTTTCTGATGTTGTCACTAACCGGTGATCTGAATCTGCAGTCAGCAATTACTGTTGCACATTACCTGAAACGTGCTGATATCATATCCAGTCAATTCAGCCCCTGATGGAACATGCATCACAGTGGAACGCCAGACTACATTGATTTGAAATAAATACATTTTGAAGAATTGTAGCCATTTGCATGACCCTCTTAGCTTTGAGTCTTTGAGTCTTTGCACAATACATGAGCTTCACGATGTAACATAGTTTTGTTTTCGTCACGTTTCTTTTATTTTACTGTGCATATTGGCTGCCTGCATAGTGTACTTGTATATGTGCATTTAGAGGAAATCTATCAGTTTTTACCAAATAGATTCACCACATTACTCTTTCACTTTCACTCTGGTCGACTCTGTTTGTGTGTGTAGCATTCAACCCTCAGAAGTCTGTTTCTGTTTTTGTTTTTGTCAAACAATGATTGTAATGTAAACATAAATAATAGTAGTAGTGTGCTAAAGGGTTTACAGTTATACAATAAGGCTACAAAAATAAAATGACACTATGATACATGTGTCAACGTCACAGACTCCAATCCAACTGAGCACAAATTCACATTTCTAACTGGGTGTTGTATGACAGTTAATATGTGGGTGGGCCGGGTGCAATGGGAAAGAAACTTGGAGATTCATCTATATTTCTTGTGAGTGACCCTCATGGATTTCCTATGAATTATTTACTCATTTTGACTTCCTTATTGAGTCACCCTCAGGGTCAATGTGAGCTTCCGCCCTGTTGCGTATTATTTCAATAGAGCTGAGCATGCAACATAAGATGGATGTGTTGCTGTAACCCGAAACTGTAGCTCTGTCCTGCTGAGCAAGCCTCTTTCTGGGAGGAGATGAAACTTCGAAATTCCCACAGTACCCATTATTCAGTTTGACCTGGATATTCTCAGTACATCAGATGTAATCGACTGGCTGCAGTGTGATGCTTCCAAAAGTATGACACCCAATTTTCCATACTGTAATTGTGCACAGTAGGGTGGAAATGCGTAAGCACATGCATACATGGCTATTTGCATATGTACTTGAAATGGTGTTAACCGCACTTATGTAAGCACTGCTCATTGTGATAGCTCACATTTTCCCATGGTGTTCAATCATGTAAGTGCTGAATTAGTGAAAGTAAAAAAATAACACTGTTTCCTAATGCAATTTGAGTGATGTTTCATTGATTTTTGGTTGGATGTGAAGCAAGATAGTGGCTATGAAGAGGTCAGAAAGAGATATATAATCATTGAGTTGAATCACCGTGCTTCTGCTGCTGATGCTGCAGATGCTGCAGCAGCGTTGCATCAACTCACCTGTAAAGGATAAAGTAATGTTCACTCTTACCACTAGAGGGAAGTAATGCAGAGCTGTCATTGTGATTCACTCTTTGTCGATCTACTGGAGGTATTTAAAGGTCCCCTATTATACTCTTTTTCATCAATATATTATAGTTCTCAGTTATACACAAAACATGTATCTGAAGTGTTTGGCTCGAAATACTTCAGAAGTTTAAAAAAGTGCTCTTTTTTGTTGACTCACTAGCACCCTCTGCAGTCCACGTTAATGCTGTTAATGTTCTATTTATCTATCTATCCATCCATCCATCCCTCTATCCATCTTTTTTCTATCTGTCTATCAATCAATCAATCTATCTATCTATCCATATAGTAATGCAGAGCAGACATCTTGTCTTTGTCTTGAAAGAAAACGTAACTCAGTAGATAAGATTATATATTTTTATTGAAGTCTTAATAAAACCAATGAAAAAATGAAAAAATAGCACATTATTTCTTAATCATGCATAATAACCTTGCAGCACAGTAGAAGCACACATACAATACCTTAACAGCTCTATATACAAAATACATTTAAATTCATATACATTAATGTTCATGTTACATTCATGTAAAATATAAATATTGTATAAAAAAACGGTCCACATCTCAGTGGCTGACATAGACTTTAAGTTAATTCAAGTACAACATAGAGAAATGTACAATGGCAAAAAAAGTGCATTTTGGTGTTAGCGTGGGGATTCATCAGCTCTCTGGGACGTCAGTGTGGATTTTGCTGAGCTTCTGTCTGATTATGCTCGTGTTTTCAGGACGAGTCCCTCCATCCAGTCCAGCACAGTGTCCAGTTCTCCCACAGCCTTCTTCGCCGCCTGGCTTATTTCCAGCTGTTCAATGGAAAGAGAGAAAGGGGAGAGAGAACCGTGGATTTAGTGATAAGTATTAATGTATAGAATTTTACATTTTGTTTGTATGGAGTTGGGTCTTTCAGCCCATTGGGTTAGGCATATCACATTTTGTATTAACTCATTTAATTAATTAATCTGCAGTGATCATCTTAGCAAAATGAACCTTTCTTATTTTTCCACGCACGCACACCTATTGCTGTATACCATGACATGCTTCAAGGAAAATGCATATTGAGATGGATACTGCTGTATATGTTAAAAAGAGTTTCTTATAAATCCTCGATATTGCATTTATCTTTTTCAAAAATGAAAAGATCTTGCCATAACATTTTAAACCTCTTGAGCTTAACTAAAAGTGATAGAATATTTGAGACCCAATCACAGCCTTTAGGTCTAACCTCTGCAGTCCACTGTTCAAATATTATAGTAGTAGTGTCTTAATATTTTCAGTATACTACATACCTTGATAAACTCAGCATGCACAGTGTCAATTTTTCTCTGCGTGTCCTCGACACATTGGCAGTGCTGCAAAAAACAAAGCATCATTGTTATTCATTAAATGAATGCAATCCTTTTATTGTATTTCATCATTGAAGTTGTTGAAAAGCTAACGTACACATTTATGTATCTCTCTCCTGATGCTGACAAAGGAGTTGGCCAGAGCGCTGGTGTGGCGCTGCTGCTGGGGCTGAGAAGAGGCGTAGTTACTGAACACTCTCTCCACGTAGAAACGCAGCACGAGACGCAGCAAACAGCACTTCTGACCATCCTGATAGAGACACAAAAAGTTCAGATCACAGCAGCTGTTAATACTCATATACTGTCTCTAAAGCCTTTATCAGTCTGTGGCTCACGGCAGAGAAATACTTGTAAAACCGGAAATTAGGATAGAAAGAACTGCATGGTTGAAGGCCCACCTGAACTTGTTTCATCAGCGATTTGTTCAGAAGTCTTACTCCGATCTCACTGTCTCCTTCTATCTGTAATGCAAATATCACAAAGAATAAGAGACAATCTCTCTCCACTTAAAGGTGTCATCAAAAATAATTTCTGATATGGTTTTGGTGAGGTAAAGTGAAAGCCTCTCTGCATTTAAAGCTGCATATATCAGCTGCATCTGTTCATTTATATTATTCATTTTGAGCTAGTGGTTTTAAGAGTGGGTGTGTGTGTGTGTGAGAATTAAACTCACAGCATTAGATCGGATGTCAGTGTAATGGGTTCGCAGCTCGGTTGTGTGAACACTGACAGAGCAGCTGTTCAGGTTGAGGGTCCGGCTCTCCACGGGTTCACTCAGACAGCTGAGCAGGAGGAGCAGGCAGAGAGAGCGGGCGAGCAGCATGTTCATCATTTTGATTGTCTGGAGGGGGAGCTAACAGAGACATTTTGTTCGTTAAAATCACCTCCAGATAAATTACTGGTGGGGATCATGTATAATTGATTATTCCGTTCAAAATGTTTACATCAGTAAAGTAATCAGCAAACAAATTCATCACAACTTCCGGTATCACTTTACATTAAGGTACACCAATTAACCATCAACTAGTTATTAATCAACATGCATATTAGCAGTATATTGGCTCTTTATTAGACATTATAAAACACTTATTAATGCCTTATATCGTATAGTAATGAATCGTAAAATGGCATTTAACTGTCGAGGTATTTTGCTGGTGAGAGATTTGAATTGCTTTATACCGTGAAGCTAGTAAGCCTAGTATTTGATTTGTTTTAGATAGGCACAACATGTTTCATATGCAGACCTTACTTTCCTGTTCCATGTTAAAATAAATCATTTTCAGTGGTACCGCTGATAAAGAGTACTTTTTTTGGTCATGGAAAATTAGGTAAAGGTCGTGGAGAAGTCATGGAGAAGTCATTGCAAATCATTGGTGAACAAGTGTATGAACCCTGGAGTGTACATTTGTGAAAAAATCCTGAGCACAAGCACGGAATATTACTGCACGGAATATTACTGCCAAAAGTCACGTGAGTCACGTGACTTTTTGCAGTAATATTCCGCCGTGGTTGTGCTCAGGATTTTCTCACAAATGTAATATTCCGTGACTTGAGAAGAAAAAGTTTTGTACAACCTATGCTGAATTTGTCTCTGAAACATGATTTATTAGAAAAATGTGTTTGTTTGATAGATACGTTTTTTGATTTGCAAAACTAAATGCATTAGTTTGTAGATGGTGTTTTATATTTGCAAACCACACTGTGTTTGTTAGTGAATCACAAGGCATTTGTAAAACTTGTTTAGTTTGTTTGTGGAGTTATGGCAGGAAATTAGCTCCATACATATTGGTTATGAACAAGACTTCACTTAGGGAACATATTCTTAGATAGAAATACCTAATTCGAATCAAACTACTAGCTTATTGGTTATGAACAAGACTTCACTTTAAAATAGGGAACATGTTTTTAGATATAAATACCTAATTTTGAGTTATTTAGACACAATTAACACTTATAGTTTCATGTCTTGTTACATAAGAATAGATCATATTGGTTAAGTGTTATTATGGGAGAATTACTATTCTTGTGGTACTACTGCCTTATTAGGCCCATATTGAGCTGCGCATATTAAGACCAAAACTCATGTACAACAACTTCCTTAGTTGCAATAAATAAGCACTAATTAGAGGGTTATTGAGGAAAAACTCTCAACGAATGGCTTATTACTTGTAGAATATGGTCATGTAGAACAAGGCATTAATATGTGTTTTATAATGACTAATAAAGAGCCAATCTACTGCTAATATGCATGTTAATTAACAACTAGTTGATGGTTAATTTGTGTACCTTAATATAAAGTGTTACCCAACTGATGGATAATTCTTGTTTTGTGTTTTGTCTGATGCTGATTTTACAGTTAAAAAAAAGATATAACAAATATAAAAACGCCACAAATCCACACATTTAAGAAGAAAACAATTGTCATTTTTGTTGTATGATAGCAAATAAATGATACCAATATTTTCTAATATTTCAGCACTTTAGTAAAGCATTCATGTAACTATTCAGTGTACATTAAATACATGAGAAATACACCTTAAAGTTACATGGTATTAGCATACAATCTCTCATCCTTTCATCCTGTGGTGTTCAGGTACCCTCGGCCAACACCATCACCAGCACCCTGTGTTTCAGACTCACCTGTGTTTCTCAGAGGAAGAGTCCTGGGAGTGAGGTGCCTCTGTGACTCCATCCTGTCTCCTCTTATAGTGCAGTGAGGGGGATTTTTTAGCAGGTACAGCACAGGTTGAACACACAAACAGACACATTGGTTTACAGGATGTTGCAATTAAAGGAACTGATGGCTCAATACCTGTTTGGAAGAAACCATTTCCTCCTCCCTGATGTGTGATCATTGTAGAGGAACACATCAGTGATGCAATAATTGAATGAGCCATTCAGAATTTCCGCGTGTCGTCATTACTCTGCAGCTTTTAATTATTCGGCTGTATAAAAGTACACACAGCATCATTTGGGTAAATCTTAAAATCTTTTAAAATGTGTTCATCTTTTAATTAAGGGTGCAAGATGGGTGGAATTTGCACCAAACAGCTTTTTTGACCTCATATACCTCTGACTGATCACCATGTCTGCTCTCAAATGTAGATACATGTTCCGCTACTGAACGTTTAACCTCCTTCAGTGCGGTGTCTTCTACTCGTTTTCCTCGAGGAGCACACGCCTGTCAGACAAGTCCTGATCAGAAACACCTACCGGACCTGCTTACCTGCTTATCTGAGGCCTGTTCAATTTCCTTGCATTGGAAAGAATCATGTGCAGGGAACTCCAATTGAAGACAGGACTAACCACTGTTCAAGGAAAATATATTAATATAATAGCAAAAGGAAGTGAACAAATTCCAGTTTACATATGACAGGTGCATGTCAGAGCAATGATAACATGTTAAAAATAGCTACCAGCTCTTCCCCGCTCAGGAATGCTTAGTGCTTTTTTCTAACCACTAGAGGTTGACACAAAGCTTTTTTAAACTCTTCTAATTATCCAGGTCCCAAGTGTCAGCACTGCTTTAACAGCTGTTGAGTACATCAACTAGTGGTCTAAGATATTTCTGTGATACACTTTTACTACCTCAAAACAAAGTATATGTTACATTTCTTTCAGATTGAGTCACAGTGGCTCTTCACAGTCCAAATGTATTACTGTTATAAAAAAGCAACAAAAACATGTTTGAACTACGCTCTGAACTAAGTAACAACAACTCCTCCAGTACAGTAGAGTACAGTAATCATTTTACCACCCCTTATTGGATGATGACCCCAACGTTGGGAACAATTTTGTTTAGCTTATAATGTCATCTAACTAAGTTGTAATATGCTTTTCAATATATTTTATTGATTCATTTGTTAATTATGTAGGTGTCCTGCACCATTTGGCCATTAACCCAAATGGGAATAAAACATTGGGCATCTATAGCAATTAGGGTTTCCACATGAGCAATTTTTAAATACAAAAGGAACATTATGTATGCCATAATTATGCAGTCTCTGTATTTACCGGCTTTATTCCAGGTTTGACGACCACTGCTTTTACCTTAACCATAAAATTAAGAAGAACATACTCATTTTGTATCACTAACTTTCCAAAGATACTGTGGCATAGGTTATGTTGGTTTCTTCTGATGGAGAGATTTCCGTGGACCACATTGGTGGAAGATGTATTGTACAATACTTTAGTCGAAGTAGCAATGCTTACGTATTTAAATCTTCTGTTACAAGATAAAGTCCTGCATACTACTTTGACATTCTACAGTAAAAATACATAATTAATAGCAACACAATATAATTAAAGAACCAAAAGGAAAGTACTCTAAGCAGAATGGCCCTCTACAGATTAATATCACTGTTCTAAGTATTGATGTCCTAATATACATCATTGATAATGTTGGAGCTTTATTACTTTTTTACTGCTAGTTAACTTAATGTTAATGTTCCTCCACTAGTATACAGGATGGGAAGATGATCTTTATCCCTAAAAAGCAGACACGATCAATTGATCAAAGAAAAAAAACTTTTATTTTCCATTATTTGTACAAAGCTTATTTATACAGAATAATAATATACAGGGGACTAAGAAAAAAAGGAATACAAATATTTTTTTACATGGAGCACCTTGAAAATCACAGGAACATTTGAGACGGTTTCAACTACATGGTAGTTGTGTTTTAATCTTTGTTTTTTCTGACATTCACTGCAGTTTTGTTTGTTACCCTTTTGGTAGCTTTATTTTGCTAGTGAACATAACTATTTGTGTAGCATGTCTGTCAATGTACCTGCCCTTTCAGGCTTTACTCATTCCATGTTGTATTTCTATAAACAAAACATTTATCTATCAAAGCTTTACACTTTTTCATTTATTTCTTCCACTTCCATAAACACAGTTGGTTATACCTGCTTTCTGCCGAATATGCTTTGCCTTTACTTCCCTTTGCACACAGTGACTCATGTGAAGCCCTAAGGCAGCGTTCTCCTAAATGACAATAGAGTGGAGGTGTCTGAAGCACATGATGACATCCAGAGGGATGGGGGGGCTCAGATGATTCCCGTCCAATCGCAGGTACCTGACACAACAACAACAACAACAACAACAGGTGATTAACATGCCACAGTGACTGTGACGAAGGTAACTTCGTCACTGTGGACGGATGGCTTCGGGCCTTGCATGTGCTTCACAGTGACAAACGACTTTTAAAACTCATTATTTCCTGACATCATTATGTTGTTCCTAGATTTTTCCTTTCAAAGGGTGCCACTGGTAACATTTTATTTTTGTGTAATGCCAAGTTGTGACGTACCTTAGTCTGGGCCCCATATTGTGATCGCTGGGGTCGGCCTCCAGGCTGTATGGACAGATCTGTGTGCCATTGATGCCTGCGGAAAACATAATCATACATTTCTAGTCTTTAAATGTTTCCTTTAGCAAGAACAAGACAAACTGCTCAATAAATATAAGGATTTCTCTTGTATTAGACACTATCTAATCATGACAATTTATTCAACACTTTTAAAAGTACAAATGGCTTTAAAACAAGAAACAACATAATACAAACATAAATAAAAAAGCATAAATCACTTAAATAATACAATAATGTCATGCATTATAGCACTATTAAAACAAATAAAGATGAATGACTTACATAAAAGAAAAAAAGGAGAAATGACCTAAAATTATGCAACGCCTCACATTAAGATTTAGTTCGGAAAAGACGAAACCTGTTAGTGACGCTGCAGCCTGAGGCAAAGCTTTGTGGCAATGTGAGCAAAAACCTGTTGAACTTTACTCTGAACAGGGAAATATTCTTTGGAAGCTGCC